AAGGCGGCAGAGAACAAGACAAGCCTGCAATACTGAAAGAAAAACTATCCCTCGAGGAATGGAAAGTTGTTGCTGCGGTTCAGAAGATCCTTCAACCATTCAAGGTCGCGTCCAAGCAACTGCAGGGCGAGGGTATTGCGGGGAAACGCTCAACCTCGGGAGGGTTCGACGAGTACTTTCAAGTAGTGGAGATGCTCCTTGACCATCTAGAGCTGGCCGTTCAAGGAGTGATAATCGAAGAGAATGACGATCAGATCATGGAGGAAGTGCAGCTGTTCAATGATATGGATGCAAAGACTCGGAGGCTTCTGAAGGTTTACATTAAACTCGGATGGAAGAAGCTGAACGACTACTACGGCAAACTGACCTCTACTGCGTATGTAGCGGCAGTTGTATTTCACCCGTGCAAGAAATGGCAAGCCCTAGAACGACTTTGGAACCAACTTCCGTCTCGTCAGACCTCAGAATGGAAGAGGACATATGAGAGTGGCCTAAGAACCATATGGGAAGAGAAGTACCAGAACAAGGCTTATGGAGCAGATTCTAATGCCGTCTCAGCTGTACGGGCTACGAGCGCCTTAGACTACATTGAGCGTCGCCTGGCTTTTAGTCGGTCACTGACTAGTCCCGACTCTCAAGGGCGACAAAGCAAGCGACAGCAGCAGTCAGCGGCAATGCCTGCACAAGACGAGCTTGATCAATATCTGTCAGAGCCGCCAGTGGACAACATCGCGTACAAGACTGATCCTATTGCATGGTGGAGGGATGTCGGTGCTGTGCGCTTTCCGCGGCTGTCTTATATGGCGGTTGACTTTCTTACTATCGCGTCGTCGTCTGCAGAAACTGAGAGAGACTTCAGCAGTTGTGGGAGGATGGTAACACCACTCAGGTCTCGCCTGCGACGGCATATTGTGGCGATGGCTCAATGTCTACGTTCCTGGAGTAAGGCCGGTATCTATCAGCCGACTCTTCCTCTTAGTCTCCTTGAAGGGGATAATTGGAGGCAGGTTCTTCAATTGGTAGGCAGGATTGGTATAGATAAGGACAGCGAAGACCAGCATTGACCGATCTGATCGCCGATCGATATCGATCGATCAATATCGATCGACTGAAGGGGTCGCTCGATCGATAAAAAAGTGGCGTCGATCGACTGAAAGGGTCGCTCGATCGATATCGATCGATTGAGGCCGCTGATCGATTTAAATCGATCGATTAGAGCTCAGAATCGATCTATACGATCGATTTCCAAGCCTGCCACATATGGTCGAACTACGAAGCGACACTCTCTCCCCGCCTCTGCTTCCACGTCTCGAACATAAGCCTTCTGAGAAAGTCAGCCGAGGATGCACGCCAAGACGCAAAGCTCTGGGCAAGCCGATCGGAAGGGGATGACACTGTTGACGTGGAGTTCCCCCTTGATGAAAACGAATCTCCCGAGGCGCCGTCAGTAACGGCCGAGCATCATCAGAACTACGCAGCTCTGCTCCAAGCCTTGCAAAACGCAGTGCAGGATTCCCATGTTACGCGGGGCTCGCCAGTCCTTGAGGGCCTGATCCGAGACCTGCGTCAAGAGAACCCTGATGAAGAAGGCCGTCCCTTTGTCCAGCGCCACGAAAGTTTCTACCAGGAAATTCGCCGAATCCAGGGGGGTGCTCTATCTCAATATCCGACTCCTTCCTTGGAAGATGTTCAGGCCGTAGCAAAAACCCAGGACCTGCTGCACCTTCAAATGCTGGATAAGATTGAGACTGGGCCGGTGGATGCTCGACACTCCACGGGTAACGCCGACATAGACGACATACTTGTTCGCCACGACGACACGGAAATTCCCCTCCCGCGCCATAGCCAAAACCCCGTCGTACAGGGTCCTCAAATGGTCGTCGACACCGCTCCCGCAGGCGACTTCATAGAATTAGGCCGCATCGCCGCGTCCAACTATACGCTCAATCATCTGCAGACCATGGCTCTTCAACTTGTTTGCAGCTTTTTAGATAGGTACACCGCCTATCCGGACTCGGCTGCCCAACTGTCACGTTATGAGACTCATCATTAACTAAGCTTGTTTGACAAAAAATTATTGTTGTTCGTTGTTGTGCTGCAAACTCCGTCTGCAGCTCTCTGCTTAATACCACAAAACTTCCTTTCGTCCGAATTTAACTTTCGGCTAAGTTTAGTCATGATAGCCGACGCTATGACATCCAGCAATTGCACCAAGCTCTGCGACTTCAGTCTACAGAGGCATTATCCGACACCAACACGGTCCAGTGTAGTAAATAATATAAACAATACGTATATTGGCAATATGGACCCCCTCGCAATATTATTGTATTGTCAAGTGGTGCATATTGTATTACGCAATATGGCATTGGTCCATATTGTATTGTATTGCCAAGAACCCAATATATTGGCAATATGGCAATATATCCCATATATTGCACGTGACCCTTATTATTTAACTCCCGCGCCTAAAATATGGGCTTTGAAAGTCTCGTATCCCAAACCATGACTTCAAACACTCTAATGCTTCAATTACATCACTCCCCATCCGGTTTCTACGATCTGTAATCGTTATCTTTGCCCCAGAGAAGAGCCTTTCAGGCTCCGCAGACATTGCAGGAATTGACAATATATCCACGGCCATTTTGCTTAAGTTGGGGTAGGTCTTTTGCTGTGTCTCCTCTAGCCACCATGTAAGGGCGCTTGTAAATCCATAGACCCGTTCAGACTTACAATAATGCTCGTACTCGTCTGTGATAGGTGCTGGTTGTAGATACTTGTTCCTCCATTTCAAGAACTCGTTCGTTGTCATCGATGGTGCCTCGGAGAGAGGGAGTGATTCCACCGGTTTGTATTCACCCCACAGCGTCTCAATCAACTCCTTTGACGACTCAACCCACTCCGTCTTCCAGTTCTCGTGTATATAGTGCCATTTATGCGACGGGTGGAGCACAATCGCTGCAACGTAGGCTGGCGATTCGTCAGTAAGGCGATAGTACTTATCTAATTTCGCCCAGCCCGAGTTGTACATTGGTGCCATAATCGGATCATCAGCATATGTCTCTTTTCCTGCTTCGAATTGGGCCAACACGAAGTCCATAGCCAAAAGAACATTATCGAGTGTTGCAAACGATGATTCGAGAGCTTTGGTTGTCATTTTGAGCTTCTCTAAAAATGATTGGATCTTCTCGAGGGTGATCCAGTCTCCTGAAGAGAGCTCGTCTCCAGCGCAATCTGCTTCTACCCATTTGTTGAAATAGCCGTCAATTGCATCTCTGAGATTCAGTGCCGCTCGCAGCATGGTATACCACGAATTCCACCTTGTGTCGTTATCACGCGCAAGCCTGCGGTTATGGCTAATAGCCATAAACTTTTGGCTGCGCTGAACGCTTCGTTGAATGTAAACGACAAAGTTATGAAGCTTGCCAAGAGGGCCTTTCCGCCGCCATGCCTCAATCTGTTTTAATGTCACATTTTGCAGACCGGAATCGTCGTGCTCGAGCTTCTCGTTGTCGGTAACGAAGAGGAAGGACTTGGCGGCCCGCTCGATAATATGGCCTTGGCAGCGGAGTCGGTGAAATTTGGGGTTATAATGAATGTCATATTGTCGTAGAAGGGCTATAAGTGTTAGCAGCGTTTGGAAGAAATAGTGAGTGGTACTGACCAAGAGAAAGGGACTTTATCATAGTGTCGTTATTGCTTGCATTGTCCATCACAAAATATCCAAGTTTGGAAGCAAAACCCCAGTCATCAACCACTTCCATCATTGCTGCAGCGAGGTGAGAACCATCATGCTCACCGTCGATGTCTTTTAAGGCTAAAGTATGGTGTTCCAGCTTGCAGTCTTCCGTGACATAGTGAGCAACTACGCCTAGGATTGCCAAAGAATTGGGCGACGTCCAAAGGTCGCAGCTGATATGAATTCTTGATCTTGCCGACTGTATGCGCTGCTTCACCTTCTCCTTCTGATCCTCATATTGCCGCATAATCCATTTCTTGACAGTTTGGTGCGACCCTGGGAGCCAAGTATCAACATCAGCATTAACGTAGGCTAACATTGCTCAGAATTCTGGGCACTCCACGAGCCGAATTGGAAGAGAACAGGCGGTAATAAACCTTATGTACAACACTTCGAGCTGGTCCGGGTCGATCGAGCTTCCGTATTGATCATTGAGCCGACGGCGTTTTCGGACATTTTCTTCAGCGGTAAGACGAGCTTGTTCGAGAATGGTTTGTATCGTTCTGACTTTAGCTGTTCGTGGACCGCCTTTTGGGAGACCGTGGCCGTCAGGAGGAGGGTCCGTTAGGTGCTTAGCCGGAGCCGCAGTTCCACCAGAACAAGAATATGTTTTATCACAATACTTGCAGCGCCATTCCTCCTTTCCAGTCCGTTGATTGTAGTATCTGGTTTCAATTTCCTCGTCCGGCATATGAGAGAAGACCCATGATGTTCTTGGCTTCGTGCAAGAAGTTGCCAGAGGCCGTGCGAGGTCGCGACGATTGGCATTGAGAGGTTTGTCTCTCGCTGGCGTCATGTAATTGTTGGCTAGAATGCGCCAAAGAGTCGTCGGATGCTGTAGAACCTTTGGCTTGCGATGTTTGACCAAAATGCAAGCGCTGTTGAGGCATTGTCGTAAATGGCTAGCAACAGGCTTGCCTTTGCCAGAAGCGTGCTTCGAAGCAGAAATTGACCGCATTGAAGAAACGCAGAACTGGGAGCTTTCAAAGGACTGTCCAGCTAGGCACATCCCAACCTCAGGGGGCTGTGGTGACACATTCATTTGGTGGCGTTATTAAGATTGCATTAGCCGAGTGCAGATCACCATCTACCCAGTGCAGTGGTTGGTTGCCTGGTGTTTTCGCCGATGCCACTGTCAGCAAACAAGTGATCTTACCCTATATTTCACCAAACAATATAAGCAATATATTGCCAATACGAATCGACTGATATTGTATTGTCACAATATGGCAAACTGCATATTGTATTGTCACAATATCAGAAAATGCGTATTATATGGTATGTATTGCCGTATATTGTTTTATTGTCATATTATTTACCACACTGCCTAGTACGGTCGAATGCGACTCTTCCGACTACGTCAACGCTGGATGTCTGTCCCAACCCGACGACTCCGGGGTCTTGCACCCTGTAGCATTTTTCTCCCGCAAGTTGATCCCCGCAGAATGCAATTACGACATCTACGACAAAGAACTGATGGCAATTGTACGAGCCTTTGAAGAATGGAGAGCCGAACTAGAAGGAACAGAAATACCAGTGGAGGTTATCAGTGACCACAAGAATCTCCAGCATTTCATGACGACTAAGCGGTTGAGCCGTCGCCAAGCGAGATGGAGCGAATTCCTCTCGAGGTTCAACTTCAAACTGATCTACCGGCCTGGAGCACAAGGCGGCAAACCTGATGCCTTGACGCGACGATCCTCGGATTTGCCCCAGGGCGATGACGACGAACGACAGGAACATCAGAATCAGATAGTACTAAAACCAGAAAACCTGTCGCCCGATATGTTGCCTGTTTCCCTGAACCAGGCCGAGATAGACCCAAACGACCAGGTAGTCCAGAAACCCATCGAAGACCTGATATCGATTGCCTACGAGAACGATACTGTTTCCTCGAAGGTATTGGAAGCGTTGAAGAATAGAGATAGCATTGATCCGCCAGAACTGAAGGAGGTGAAACTCCCACGGGCTCTGCTCTCCGAGAAGCATCAGAGATTGTACTTCAAAGATAGACTATACATCCCTGAGGATGAAGAGCTGCGTCTTCATTTGTTACGATCATCCCACGACAGTGCTGCGGCTGGGCACCCTGGAAAAGCGAAAACATACGAACTTCTCTCTCGACACTACTACTGGCCAAAGATGAGCCGAGATGTGAAACGATATGTACGAAACTGTCACATTTGTTCACGATCAAAAGCCTCGAGACTGTCATATCAAGGACTACTGGAACCATTAAAAACCCCATTCACAAAGTGGGAAGATATTGCGGTAGATTTCATTGTAGACCTGCCTCGCAGTAAAAATGAAACGACAGGCCAGGTATGCCGGAACATAATGGTCGTAACAGACAGGCTCTCGAAGCAACGACATTTTATCGGTTGTGGGTCCATAGAAGCCAGATATGCTGCACGACTCTTTCTTCATCATGTTTGGAAGCATCATGGACTACCAAAGACAATTGTGTCCGATCGCGGTACCCAGTTTACATCGAGGTTATGGCAGAGGCTGTGCCAGAGACTGAGAATATCGTTGAAACTTTCCACCGCGTATCACCCAGAAACAGACGGACAATCAGAAAACTCCAACCAGGGCCTTGAGCAATACCTCCGAGCTTATGTCAACTACGTCCAGGACGACTGGGTCAACTGGCTTCCGCTTGCCGAGTTCGCGATAAACAACCATCGATCAGAGACCAACGGGGTGTCACCGTTCTATGCCGTATATGGACAACACCCTCGACTGGGTAATGAACCTTCAGAAGGCGTGCGCAAACTGCCTCAGAAACAACAACTAGACGTCGCAGCCGCTGACCGGTTCGCTGAATGGATGACGAAGTTGACAGAAAATCTACGCAACGAAATGGACATGGCCCAAAGCCAACACGCAGAACAAGCAAACAAGTTCCGATGTTCTGCACCACAGTTTAAACAAGGGGATAAAGTATGGCTCGACACAAGAAATTTAAGCATGGATCGCCCGAGCAAGAAACTATCCGATAAGTATATAGGCCCATTCGAGATTATAGAAGTTGTTGGTCCAGCTACTTGTCGACTCGATCTCCCACCATCGATGAAGATCCACAATGTCTTCCACACAAATCTGCTACGTTCAGCAAGTACTGACCCGTTCCCCGGCCAAGACCAACCGATGCGAACGCATGTCAAGATGGAACAAGATAACAACAGTCGAGAATGGATGGTGGAGAAAGTACTGAATTCTCGGATAACCAAGAACAGATATGGAAAAATAAGGCTCGAGTACTTTGTCAAATGGAAGGGATACCCTCCTTCGTGGCGACCTCAACGAGATCTGATACCTGGAAGCGAGGCACTGCTCTATACGTTTCACGACCAGAACCCAGATAGGCCGTCACCAAGCGAGTTATGGCGTCGCAGGAGCTCCTAGGGATTTAAGAGGGGGTAGTGTCACGAAACCAACGTTGACGCTTGTCAAGGATATCACGTGCGTACGCACGTGATACTCCTTATTCTGATTGCAAGGAAGTTGCTTTTTCAACGTTTCTCTTGCTTCCTTGCGCTACGTCTTGTATATTCGAATCTAGTATAGACTTAGCCCAACGATACAATTTACTTGAATACTCTGCCTAAGCCCCCTTGACGTGAAACCCTCACAAAGAGCCGTCGTGAACCCAGACCGACAGACCGGAGGGGCCGGTCTAGGTCTGTCGGTTTGTTAGCCACACTGATTATAAGAGCTGTACCAGTGGAAAATAAATTGAACCTGATCCTAAACCGACTAACTAGACAACAATAAACGTATTTGCCGTGCATAACGCCGAGATTCTCAGATCAAAATAGACGCGGCAGTATTCGACGGATCCAGGACCATATAAGGAATGCTATTCTTATCCATACTCTTGCTAGTGATGAGAAACTCAACCTGTAGTTTCTTCAGTTCGTTATAGAACTGCTCACTAATGTCTCCAATCTCTCGGTCTGCCTGGCTATCTCCACGATGCGTGTGCCATTGCGATTGCGCGAATGAGATGAGGCTTCGGTCACTAGGAGTTTTAAAACTAAGGAGCCAAGGCACCTGGACTGAGAGTAACCATTGCCTTTGCCGACCAAGGGGCAGCGCGTCAACCAGATCTTTCTCGGTATATTTCTTCAGCTCCTCAAGGGTTTGGGGAAGTGGGCTGCAAAGGCAAGGTGGTTTAGCAAGAACAAAGGTTTGGTAGAAGCTTTGAAGATAGTTGACTGCGGAGTGAAACGGAGCTGCAATGTGTATGCTCATAGTGACGGCGTCACAGAGCTCGTCTAGCCTTTTAATGGTTGGAAAAGACTTGATAAAGCCTTTTGTCTGCACCTCTTTGCACCAATCGGTAATACATTGATCGTCTTGAACGTTCTTACCGTCCTTGCCATAATATGTTTGAAGCATATTCATGACGTACTTCCGAATGCAGTACCACATAGAAGTCATGTTTTTGGCATAGGCATAGTTCTTGTACTTCTGGCCGGAAAGGCCCTCGGTTGTGTTGGGAAAGCCCCGTCGCGCCAAGTCATTGGGGACGTAGTTGTTGACATAGTCGAAACTCTCAAACTCATAGCGAATGAGCTGATACAAATATTCCGGTTTTAGGCCAACCAGGTCCTTGATGATTTGAGGCACAAGAGTAGATCTCGCGGCAGCATTAAGTGAGAGCGTCCTGTACCAGTGCGGCTCAAGGAGTTTGAACACGATGTGATCCATGGGGATGGTGCGGTGAGTCGCCACAATGAGCGATTCTTCAATCATGTGCGCACGAGTTAAATGGACACCGACCTCATGGCGAATCCAGTCGGAGACTTGAGCGCATGTCTTGGCATATCGCCACGTCCAGTCACTCTCTTCTTGGCCAGAAGGATCTGTCGGAAGTTGACGTTGGTTGAACACGGTGACGGAGCTTGCCATGGTGCCCTTGTAGTCGCAAACAATGGCGACTGGGTGTAGTTTGCCATCTGGGTGAAGTTGAAAGAGTGTTATTGCCGCACACGCCCAGCTGTTGTCTGATACAGGTTCCTTGTGGTGCAGCTCTTCGTCAGCCTGGGCCCCAAACGCGGCCCGAAAGTAGCGACAGTCTTGGACAAAAAGAGAATCAGCATTAGCAGGAAGACTTTGCGCCCAATGGTCATATCCGCTCTGCTTGGCAGCCGCGATGAACTCATCTAAAAGGGACGGACTGATCTTTTTAATGGTGGTAGGATTAGTCCCTGTAAACGACTGATCGGCAAAGCGGCGGTCGGTATACCAATCTGGTAAGAGTCCCAAATTTGCTCCCTGTTCAATGTCTGTTCCAGATTTGCGATGGAGCATGTTGTATGTTTCATAGGCTTTGATGCTGGAGCCTTGTTGTGTAGCATCTGAAACATTTCCATTAACCAAGTCAAGAAGCCACCTCGCAGTCCTACCAGTAAAGCTGTCGGGGACGACTTGCTTGATCAGAACCTGCGTCTCTGCGAGTCCCAGGGCGTTGAAAATCTTCAATAGTGAGACCTGGTCTTGCTTTGGAATATGTTCTAAATGAGGAGGATACTGGGCCACAGACCCGTCGGGGTTCTTGGGATATTGGCTGTATTGAAAAATCTCCTGTTTAGCGGAGAGCTCTATGTACCGAGGCAGACTAGGCTCAATCTGCAGGACGTCGAAATAGGATTCGTAGCTGTGCGATGTCAATGTGTGTAACGACTTGTTAGGGCCCGGGAGTCTCACCTTCGCTCAATTCGATTGTACGCATGAGTCAACGCCGCTTGAGTTCCGGAATATGTCCCTTCCGTGATATTTCCTCCACCTAGCACCGGAGGTTGTTCAAGTCGCAGTTGATTTGGCTGGGCATACAAACCCAGCCTCAGAAGTTCTCTATTAAAGACCCCAGGGTCCACGTCGACAAACGGCACATCCTGGATTTCGATATCGAGCTCTCTCATGCGTTCATCCACAGACATCGTATTTGACGAGACATCTACCCCTGCAACACCAGCTTGTGCACCACTGGCAATGAGCGCGACATTCTTTGGACGAATGATTCCGATGAACTGGTAGCCGCTGAGTGGGGCCATGGCGTCCCAAAGCCAGACCGGGAAAGACCATATTGTGATGCAGGAGTTGCTGTTGAAGGCGGCGATCAAAGCGGACCCACGACATGCTTTGACAATGACATCATCGAACTCGGTAGGGGCAAATCTGAACCACCGTTTCCAGTTCTTTTGGATGGCATCGAATTCCTTTATGAATGCTTCTGCGGTGCAATTGAAGGTAACAGCAATGCAAATCACGGCATCGGTCATTGTTGTCAGGCGATCTAGCATGTCGGGAGCAGTCTGTGGACGATTCTCGGATGTAACAGGAGGTCCCACCTTCTTGATCAGCGTGGAGGCAGATTGGCCTTGGTGACCCATAAAGTCTTGATAATGGGGAAACTTGGAGAGCTTATAATGGTTTCGCTTGTCCGAGTCGCACAAGACAGAGTGCAGCTCCCAGACATCGTAGGTGTTGTTTGATATCTCCTCGAGGAATGCAGTCGTAAATGACGAAACTTTTTAAGGCGGAAGCTTGTACGTCCGCTGCGCAGGCTCCGAGCAGCTCACAGGAGGTTTCCCATGCCAGCGTTGGGTCGATCATCCCTCCAGCATGACAGCAGTCGAAGACAAAGAGTTTGGAGCAGATCGCACCAGTCTTGAATAGTGACCGGATAGCCGACGACCACTCAATCTCTGGTGATCTGGGGCGGTTTTCTTTCTTCCACAAACGTGTTGTCGTGGTGTCAGGCATGGTTGCATGCCCCCCATAGTATAGGATGAACAAACTGTCTCGATCCTTTGAGACTTTATCTAACTCATCGCCAATGGTTGAAATAAATTTCCGATCGGTGACATTGTCCGGGATCTTATAGACCAGTACCTCGAACTTGAAATCATCTTCGAACAGTTTGCCTAGCTCATCGGCCTGAGCTCGGAGATGGTCCAGCCCGGAAGATGTCTCCCAGTAGGCAATGACGGCAACCACCTTTTTGAAATGTGACCTCCTATTCGATAATGCATTTTTCGCAGCCCTTGTTATATCGGACGCGAAGTCGGAGACTGTCTCCCAGTACTCGCTCGCTGGCATTCCATTCGAGTTATCGACCTGGACGATGCCCTGTGAGGTGGCAACGGAGTTAACGGAATTTGGGGGTTCACAAGCGTTGTCTGAAGGTACTTGATTGATATTTGGCTCTGCCATTTTAACGAAAACACGGGTTCGGTCCAGTTCGTTGCTGGAATTCTTCGAGCCCGACCTGAGAGGATATTCAAAGGAGCCAGTGAGAGCCGGCAACGCGATGCGCTTATTCCGAGAGTGTGATGCACATCTGCATGAAAGGTGCATTAGAATTGCAAGAGATGACGTAAATGATATCAATACTTACTTGTGTGACAGTCGAGTCGTTTTCCGCGCTCGCGATGGGAGTCCATAGAGAGATCGTTACTCAGCCGGGAATAAGGCCAGATTACCAGTTGATGCCGCGGGCTGGGTTCCCCTCCACTGGCCGTATGTGTGGAAAAGGATGCTGCAACCAGTAAAAGGAACAACACAGGAAACCTCTCCGTACGAGAGCAGGAAATACAGTGAAGTTGCGGATAGAAAAGATGAAGAATCATGCCTTATGGCGCGCGCGTCCCCCCTTCTTTTCGCCTGGGGGGGCGGGTGGCGTTTCTTTACACCAACCTGCAAAACTGTCAGAAATACGGTGGCACTATTATGGAGATAAAATATTGTGATGTATTGTTGTCTCTCCTCTTCTTGTTTAACTTGAAGAATTGAGGTCTTTTTATCTTTACTCCCCAACCACCTGAATAAATTCAGGTGGTTGGCCAGCCTTCATATTTTGTAGTCACTGAGAATCTAACACACCCCCCCAGTTCTGGCCGTCAGGCCTGGACTGTTGAGAATCATCACAGTTGAAGCAGTTCAAGTCTATCCTGCAGAGTCTCAGTGTTCATTTCTTCGAGTTCCCGTTGACTTAGTCTCTCCTCAATATTCACCAGACCAAGTCGCTCGACGAAACCCTTGAACGGCTGACTGCTGAGGGCTTTGGTGAGACCATCTGCCACCATCTCTCCTGTTGGTACGTAGTTTACCGAGATCGTTCCTTTTTCAGCTTCCTGACGTAACCAGTGGTTATGAATGTTGACATGGCGGAGTTTGGTCTGCAGCAGTCCAACCTCCTTGTTAACCAGCTTGATTGTTTGCTGATTGTCGCACTGGATCCGTATCGTCTTGCTATCTAGGCGGATACCAATTTCTTTGAGAAGACGAGAGACAAACATCGACTCTTTCGTTGCCTGTGACAACGCGAGGAGTTCAGCTTCAGTCGTCGATGTTGTGACTGTATCTTGTTTGTTTGCTCGCCATCCAATTGTTCCGCC